CAACATGCACTGCCATTTTTATGCCCTTGACAACACTCTGATGATGCTGTCATAGGATGAATTGAATTGCCACATGGGGAAATTGACAGATACTGAAGAGTCTCCATTATTCTAGCAAGTTAAGACTCTCTCAGTTGTGGGCAGATAATTGTGCAGAGGGAAATGATCACAGTGGACACAATTCACGGTGGCTAGAGTGTGCTATACCACCATAGGAATACAGGTGCTGTACCCAGGCAGAACTTTCAAGAATGCCAATGGTTTTGTTGGGCAAGGAGTGTGCAGGCTGAAGAGCAGAATGCAGTTTTCATATCTCAGGAAACAACCACATGGTCTCTAAAAGCTGAATGTTACATCATGCCATGTTGGTATAACCCCAACTTGACCACATGAGTCCTTCAAGGGAGAAAAGTGATCACTTAAGTTTCTTTAAAAATATTACCCTAAGATGGCTAGGTGCAGTGGCTCACACCTATAATCCCAGCACTTTGGGAATCTGAGGCGGGTAGATCACCTGAGGTCAGGAGTTCAAGACCAGTCTAGCCAACATGGTGAAACCTCATCTCTACTAAAATTACAAAAATTAGTTGAGCGTGGTGGCACAATGCCTGTAGTCCCAGCTACTTAGGAGGCTGAGGCAAGAGAATTGCTTGAACCTCGGAGGCAGAGGTTGCAGTGAGCCAAGATCATGCCACTGCACTCCAGCCTGGGCAACAGAGTGGAATCCTGTCTCAAAAAAAAAAAAAAAAAAAAAAATTACCCTAAGCAAATACTGTGTCTGCAGACTAAGCTGACCCTGTTTCCAAAGTCAGACATCCACAGGCTTTGGAAATATCATGAGTGGCATGTCACAAATCAGTTATCTGTTCACTCTTTGCCTATCAAAAGAGAATACAAATTATACAACTTTTTATCAACAATGATAATTCCACAGATTATGAAAGTGCATGGTCATGAAATACTTGAAATTGATCTTTCTCTGAAAGATAGTACAAATAATAGAAAAAGCCTGGCACTTGGAGTCAGTAGACAGGAGATATAACTGAGCTCTGACAGTTACTTTTCCCATGGCCATAGACAAGTCACTCATTTTCTCTTGCCCTGTTTCCTCTCTGAAAACAATGGTGATGGTATCCTCCCTCTTTCATGGGATTGTGGCAAAGTGCAAGCAAGTGCTTTACGCCAGCATATATAAATGCAGAGGTTTGTCTTCTCAATCCCAAAGATGCGCTCAAAGATCGAAGCACAGTGACTCTACACACCACGGACTCTGAAGCAATAATAATCACTTGAAACAGCAAAAACCGCAAAGACTTCAAATCTCATAGAGTAGTAGGGACATGACACTGAAGCTGTTAACTCCAGGGGCTGTAAGTGACCCATCAATACCAAGGGAAAGGAGGAGCCAAGAAACGTAACTTTTTAGAAGCAGATGTCTTTAAAACAAACAATTGGGCAAAAATGAAGAAACAAAATAGGTATTGTATCCCAGAATTTGTTTCCTTATTGTAAAAGAATCCCCCAGAACCAATTGAGCATTTTATTTTCTTTCAAACTAGCTCTAGAGTATGACTTGTGGACTCTGTCATGATTCTGAGTCCACTTCATGTGTCCCCATATAACACCCTCTGTACAATGCCAATTTCTACGGAAATGAGCAATTCCTAGCAAGAACTGGAGGCAATTCCCAGTGGTTGTGCTCTAGCAAACCACATCACTTACTACTACAGAGTTGGGTTTAGCTTTAGAGGCAGCAGGCAGGTGAGATTAAAGATTAAACATTCTTTTTTCATGCTATAAATAACTTGATCTTCAAAATGTGTAATCTTGTCAGCACGACCTTGCAGAAACATTGGTAACTTTCTCAGAGATATCTACATGTGGGGTAAGTGCTTGATTTTCCTGATTAATCAAAGGTCCCCTGCTGATTAAGTACTACCTGGTGCTCTTTCTCCTTATCTCCAACCCAAATTTTGAAACTTAAGCTAAAGTGGAGAAATGTGGACAGCTAAATGACATTCTTAAAAGGATTCAGGAGGCAGGTTTCTGTAAGGGTTCTGTGTGCCTGATGACCCAGAAAATCCACAGGTTCATGGCCCACTGATGAGACAGTCAGCGTTTTAGATATGCAAGTGGTGTGCAGAGAAGTGTGACTAAGGGCGAATGGCAGGTGTGGGCAGCAGAGAAAGGCACATCTCTCCTCCCTCTCCACTGTCAGCTCGTCCCCTGCCCTGTGACCCACCCCCTACAGCCACAGCTCAACTAAACGGAGCACAGTGACAGAGTACATGGTTTCTATTCATCAGCAACCTACTCAGACAACCAGCCTTCCAGGCTGAGCCACAGGAAACGGGTCTGCTAATAGCTTTATCAACACTAAGCCAGCTATTTGGGGTGGGGCATGGGTGGAGTGGCTGTCCTCCAAAGGAAAGGAGTGACAGGAAAAATGGAGGGAAAGGCCAGAAGGGGCGTGGGAGCCATGTGCTGGAGGTTAATAACAAAGTTCCAGTCGCCGTTCTTACCAACATGAGGACCATCGCTGAACTATTTTCAAAGAGAAAAACACGCCACCAGCCAGTGATCCTATAGAGCCTGGGCTTGGATTGTCACAGGGGGAAACCCAGCCCTTCCTGTAACGGAGAGCTCAAAAAGGCCATAACACACATTGTGTGTGTAATCATACTGTGCTGGAGATGCTCTCATTTGCATGTCGTGAGTTTTTGGATTTAAACTGGTGGGATTCCACTTTTATTTTTTAATGTGTACAGGTTCTAAAGTCAGATCTAGATGTCCCTCCTGTCTGTGTCACGTATGGTCAAGTGACTAAAGGGTTTCTGAACCTCTGGAATAATAACATATAATACAGAGTTATTGTGAGGAGACTGAAAATAAACACACTGGCTTAGCACATCATTTGGCATAGTAAGTGCACAATAAATGTAAGGGACTGTTATTAGTGTGAAAATTATGATGGTAATAGCAGAAGCCTTGAGCTCTCTCTCTTGGCTCTGCACTGTGACTCTGATAAATTTGCTACAGTTTCCTCATCTTTGAAATGAGAGTTAAATTCACCTTCTATCATTCCTATCCAGGTCAAAAAGTTTTTGACTCAGTGGATGTACTATCTACAAGTAAAATAATTACTTTTTATTATTTTGCTATTAATATTTTGAAAAGTCAGGGTATTATGGGTTTTTTGAAATAGTCTATTGGCTTTCAAAAAATACAGCAGTTGGATAATTCAAAGAATCACTGACTCCCATTTAGACATTCCCTTCTCTTATGGGACGCTCAGTGATTCCAGAGACACAATTTCATCAGACAGTTCTTTTCCACTACCAATTCTATGGAAAAACTGAAACTATACCAGAAACCAACTCTCTAAAGAATGACCCAGGAGGACCGCCAGCTTCCAGCAGTCAGACAGGGAAGTCACAGGCCACATGGCCACGGCCTGACCCAAGAACCTCATACAAATGCCATAACAAGGAACAGAGAAATGGGACTATTTTTCTTCATTGGCCACTCTAGGTTTTGTGGATTCTTCTACATTGCAAGGAAAAGAAGGTGGAGAACTTCTCGATGTCAAACTAGCCATTTGTTTAAACAAGGGCATTGGAAGCTGCTTCCATCAGACAACATTGGTTGCTGCAGTACTCAAGACCCATTGTGTTGAGGGAAACTGGACCGCAGAAGTGGTGTGCCCCGGGTCATTTTTAATCTATTCTCCACAAACAACAGGGGGTGGTGAAGGTGGAGAGAGACGTGTTCCCTCACGGTAGGAGGTAGAGGGTAAAAGAAAATTGTATAACTTGAGCCTGTAGGAGAATCCATTTGTCACACGAGGAAGTAAGCGCACTCCAGGGTTGTCCTAGGCTTATCAGAAGCAAAATAATGATTTGGTAAGACTTCAAATAAAAACAGCCCCTCTCTGTTCACCCTCCTTGACGTCCATGCAATCTCCAGAAACAGGAACCTGTTTGGTATCTCCCTGCAGCCTCTGATTCAAAGACCTGTCGAGGTTTACGTCATCAGTTCACAGCTCTGCCCTCTCTCTTTTCCCCTATTGCCTATCCTCTGAAGCATTCCGTCTGGTGACTACCAAGGAAGGACAAAAGTCACTGAACAACCATGGTGCTTGGCTTGCTGCTCTCCCAAGAACAAGCACCATTACTGCTGAATGAGCCTGAGGAAGAGCCGGTCCTCCCAGAGTTAATCATCAGCTGCAGGCAATGCTTTCCCCAGCCAGGTCATAAACAAGGAAGAAACAGCCCGAGCATCAAGAAAACACTAAAACAAGGAAGACCAGGAGCAGCTGAACATTTTAGTTTTAAAGTAATGAACGTGAATTAGCCTGTTTGGGGCGGGGGCAGGGGCGGGGGCACGGGAAAGTAGCTATAAAATACAGCTTTCAATTAGTTGGAAAGCAGGCAAGAAATCTAAATATAATTCCTAATGTGAATATAAATATTATTTTGTCAATTTTCTATATTGCAGACAGTTCTACATAGTTAAATGAGATATTCTCAAAAATTGAATAGGAAAAGTCAAGTCAACCATACAATAAATTCACAAGTCATTTTAAACAACTATGTTTTCAGGTTTCAGTGGTGGAAACAGATTAAAATCAAATGTAGTCATCAACTCACTTCAATGAAGTCTCTACTTCATAACCTGAATCTTGGCTTTGAATCTAAACACCATGGACCAGAAAACTCTTTAACACTGGGAAACAAACTTGGTATTTCCTAGACAGGAGTGAACCCACATGCCCCGTGTATCCTCAAAGCTATCACACCATTGCCGAAAATAACAAGCTCTAAAAAAGGGCTGTAAAAACACCAATGGCTGCTAACAGGTACAAATAAAATATCTCCTTCTATCATGCCAGAGGGAAACCACAATCAAAATCAAAAGTTGTTGGTGGCTTGCAACACACACACACACACACACACGGAGAGAGAATGAAAGAGAGAGAGGAAAGTTCTCCAGTTACTTACTGGGGTGGTTTTGTCGCGGTATTTTTCACATCAGCACTCTGCCTGTCCAGCTGCCAAGTGCCGGAGCACGCCGAGAGCAGCTGTTTCCTTCAGGCTGGGGCTCTGAGTCCTAACCAGTCACATGCACCTCCTGATAAATACCGCCTGCCACCGTGCCAGGAGGTCAAAAACTGAAGATCATTCTTCTCCTCACTCACAAACTGCCTCATAACCCCTGAGTTGGCTCAGCCATCTCATGAGCCTGCAGAGCAGGACATTCCACAATTTGTTTTCCTTTAGTGACAAAAGCCAAACAGCTGATAAGTCACACTGGAGGGCAGGTCACTACAAGTGGAAAGTGAAACGTGTGTGTGTGCAGGGGAGTTGGGGAGACCGGCTGGCTCCGTGCTCTCTCCTCTCACGCAGGTTTTCACTGGGGCTCTCGAACAGCAAGAGAAAGGATTGGGAACTCGGACAGCAGGTGGAAGCTGTTCTGAGGTCCAGGTGACTCCGGAGCACAACTGCTTGGTTTCGTTTTCTCGGAATCCCAGGCTCCAGTTTGTTAGATAAGCCGCAAGCCTGACTAAGTGGCTGGGACTGGGGCAGGCAGACTCTCACCATCTGAGAATGCTTAGGTTAGATTTCCAAGTCCCGGGCTCCTGAGCCAGGGCACGCTGAGGGGCAAATATGGGAGGGGTTAATGAAGACTATCAAAGGCAGCTTTATCTAAAGAGCTCGTGGAAGTGATTTCAGCTAGTTTAAGACCGAACTTCCGCATGGCTATCTGTTGGATTGCATCAAGCAGTTGAGATTATCAGCGGGTGTGAGTGCAAACAGAAATTATCACCAAGTTTACAACACACTTTACAGACGCGCGCTGCTGCCCCCTTTGGTGTGCTGGGAACTTGAACCAAACTGCGGTTTTCTGTCCTGCTCACAAACGTTGCAAACCATCCCTGATGTTTTGTTGGATTCAGATGTCTCCCCCGAGCTGGTGTTCGCACCCTTCCCTTTTCATCCTCCTTTCCCAGGAAAGCCCTTGGAGTATCTGACTTTGCTTGGTGTCCGACCTTAGGTATCTGACTTCTTAGAATAGTAAGGGTGACGCTTCCCCAAATCAGTGTCTGAGCCAGCCCTTCAGGTAGAGATATGACACAGAGGCAGCCTATTTGGTAAAGTGAACACCTAAAAAAGATGGTTAAAGTCCCCCAGGGGATTTCTGAACCATAATGAGCCTGTTAAACTATCGACCCTGATTTTTAGTATGCAATAGCTTACTCAATATAAGCGCGGTGTGAGTAATCTTTTATATTTAGGCTTTGTCTCATAATTATTTACAGTGTTAATCAAACCAGAAGTTTTCCCCCTTATAGAAGATACAGTGTTTTCTAGAATAACAGAAAAAGACAAAAAACCCTCAGTCTCATCATACTATCAGGGGAGTAATTTGTTGTTAGCTTGCGAGAGCCCAAAGAGCAGGAAAAAACTTACAAAAGGAAAATTTTGTAAGCACCAAAAGAAATCCCTTTCTCAGCATTTGAAGTTAGTAATAGAAGTAAACTTCAGGTATAAAAATGCAATGCACTAAAATACACATTACCTTCACAGGCATTTTTGCTTATGTGTTGATGTGACAATCTTCAATCAGAAACAGAAAAAGAGGCCTATTGAGGATTTGAAACATTATTTTGATTTGCTTACCCTCTTGTATTTACAGTAATGTGAACTTTTGTGATCTGATGGCATCCATCAGTCATTTTATTTACAATTGACTGAGTTAAGGATTCTGATGATCCATTGCATGCCACATAAAGAGAGACTTCTAGAAACTCTTCAATGACCAACAGAGACAACAGCCTCAGGAAAGTTAAGTTGTATTAGTCCATTCTCACATTGCTATGAATACCTGAGACTGGGTAATTTATATAAAGAAAAGAGGTTTAATTGGCTCATGGTTCTGCAGGCTGTACAGGAAGCATGATACTGGCATCTCCTTGGCTTCTGAGGAGGCCTCATGAAATTTACAATCATGGTGGAAGGAAAAAGGGGAGATGTGTCACATGGCTGGAGCAGAAGCAAGACAGAGAGGGGCTCTTTTAAATGACCAATACTTGCCAGAATTCACTATTGGCTTGGTGGTGGTGGGGGGGTATCTTAAGCCTATAATCCCAGCACTTTGGGAGGCCAAGACGGGTGGATCACCTAAGGTCACGAGTTCAAGACCAGCCTGGCCAACACGGTGAAGCCCTGTCTCTACTAAAAATACAAAAATTAGCCAGGCATGGTGGCATGTAATCCCAGCTACTCGGGAGGCTGAGACAGGAGAATCACTTGAACCTGGGAGGCAGAGGTAGCAGTGAGCTGCAATGGTACCACTTGCACTCCAGCCTGAGCAACAGAATAAGACTCTGTCTCAAAACAAACAAACAAAAAACAAAAAAAACTCACTCACTGTCACGAGAACAGCACCAAGAGGATGGTACCAAACCATTAATGAGAAATCTGACCCCATGATCCAATCACCTCCCATTGGGCCCTACCTCCAACATTGGGGATTACATCTCAACATGAGATTTGGGTGGGGACCACATCCAAACTATGTCATAAGTATAGATCAGGACTCTCCAACCCCCATGCCATGGACAGGTACCTGTCCATGGTCTGTTAAGGGGCCAGGCCGCACAGTACGAGGTGAGCAGCAAGCAAGTGAGCACGACCACCTGAGCCCTGCCTCCTATCAGAATAGCTGTGGCATTAGAGTCCCATAGGAACATGAGCCCTATTGTGAACTGTGCATGTGAGGGATCTAGACTGCATGCTCCTTATGAGAGTCTAATGCCTGATGATCTGAGGTGGAACAGTTTCTTCCTGAAACCATCCCCATCTCTCCACTCCCAGTCTGTGGAAAAATTGTCTTCCATACCTGGTGACAAATAGGTTGGGGAGCACTGGTGTAGAGATTCTTTTCTAGTTCTTTTTTTTTTTTTTTTTTTTTGGAAATGGAATGTTTCACTCTGTTGTCCCAGACTAGAGTACAGTGGTGTGATCTTGGCTCACTGCAACCTCTACCTCCTGGGTTCAAATGATTCTCCTGCCTCAGCCTCTTGAGTACCTGGGATTACAGGCACATGCCACCATGTGCAGCTAATTTTTTTTTTTTTTTTTTTTTTGTATTTTTAGTAGAGATAGGGTTTCATCATGTTAGTCAGGGTGGTCTTGATCTCCTGACCTTGTGATCCATCTGCCTTGGCCTCCCAAAATGCTGGGATTACAGGCATGAGCCACCGTGCCCAGCTCTTTTCTAGTTCTATAGCCAGGAGAGGAAGGGATGGATCCTAAATCCTTCCTATGAAGCAAACTCTTAACACAGAGGCCAAGACCCAGGACCCTTTCAGTCAGAGTCCAGGAGTTTGACTAAAGGTTCTACAATGACACAGCCTTGCAAAGAAATGGGGAGATCCCATCTTTCTGCCCATACTCCCTACCAGTTCCAAGCATTGCCTTTGACTCAAGAAGAGGTTCCCTCTTCCTGTCAAGAGGCCACTTCCCGCCTGGGCTTTGTGTCTCACCCTGTGCCTCCCACCTGTTTAGGACTCTCAGCAACAGCCATGTCTTCTCTCCCTCTCAGCTCACACTCCTCATTAGCTAAACACTCTAAAGTTCTCACATTGTCTTTATATCTTAACAACGATCTTTTTGATCTTTTGCTCTTTTAATTACTGCCCTAACTCCTGCATTTCCTCCACAACTAAGCTCCTGAAAAAATACGTATCTCCACTATCTCACATCCCATTTGGTCTCAATCTGCTTGTGGCTTGGCTTTTTGTCCCCCACTTCACTGAAACTGCTCTTCCCAAGTCCCCAAAGACCAAGGGCAACTGACACTTTCTTGCTTTTATCTTACTTGACCTTTTGGCTCTATTTTACCCAACTGACCAAGCACCCCTTGCAAAGCTCTCCCATGGTTTCTATAAAATTTTACTATCTCCTTTATCCTCTGGTCTGGACTTCTCTTCTGCTATCTGCACCTTAAGTGTAAAAATCTTCTCTTCTCGTCTTGCACTCTTAACATCCCTCATATGTTCTGATTTATTACTGAAGGGCTACTGTGATTTCCTAATTCATCACCTTGCCTCCAGAAAGCCTGTCTCTGCTCTCAATGTATGTCTTACACTTTAGGACTGAAAGCCTCTTGGGGTCATCTTAGGCAAGCTTGTATTCCCAGAACCTACGATAGTGCTTGACTCCCACTCTAGCTGGCTGCTGCTTTTGTACATTTTGCTGCGGTTGCATATCTTTCTGTATTATAATTAGGTCTACATTTGTCTATATTCCACCCAAACTTTATCAAACTAAGAGAAAGCTTATGACTTATTCATTATATATCCTACAATGCCTGATACAATGCCTGGCATGTATGAGACATGTGGTGGAAACAATGCTCAATGAATAAATGAATAATTAGAGAGAAGGATCTTCTGTCCAGCCCATTAAGAAAAAATATAAGAAAAATTTGCAAAACTTGATTCTATATTAGGCTACCCAAAAAATTCAAGTAATTTATTTCCAAAAGAAATTGGCCATATTCTATGATCACACTGTAATAAAACTAAACATTAATTACAGAAGTATAAGTCAAAAAGACCCCAAGCTCTCGGGGAAACTTTAGAGTTCTTTTTTTTTTTTTTTTTTTAAATCATTGATTGGAGAATAAATTAAAACCACAACTACAGAACGAATGCTTAGAAGGAAGGTTTCAATGATGAGAATACCACATGTCAAATATTGGGAGACATAGCAAAATAATAATTAGAAGCAAACTGACCCAAGAAGAAGTCAAAACACAAATCAGTAGCCGTGGAAAAATGTAAAAGTTAATAAGAAGTTATTTCCAAATAAAGCTTTTAGTCCAGATTACTTACACAATCAAGTTCTCTCTGAGCTTCAAGCACAATGAATTCCCTTGGCCATATGAAGTGTTCAAGTGGACAAAAGTAACAGAAAGCTAACATAATACCCCAACTTAAAAAAAATGATAAAGCATAATAAAGAAAATCACAGACTAACTTCATGTGTAAACATAGTTACTCTAAAGATGTAAAAAATAAGGCTGGGCATAGTGGCTCACCCCTGTAATTCCAGTGCTTTGGGAGGCCAAAATGGCAGGATCACTTGAAGCCAGGAGTTTGAGATCAGCAGGGGCAACGTAGCAAGACCCCATCACACACACACAAAAATAGCCCAGCGTGATGGCAGATGCCTGCAGTCCTACCAACTTAGGAGGCTAGGGCAGGAGAATTGCCTGAGCCCAGGGATTCAAAGCTGCAGTGAGCTATGATCACACCACTGCACTCCAGCCTGGGCAACAGAGAATAACTTTTGGATTGCCACAATAATCTTGAAAAGTCATTCGATAAAATTCAATGTCAATTTTTTAATTAGTAAAACAAAGTTAAAAGACTTGTTTTTCACATGATACTCCATCTCAAATCACACACAGGCATCATACTTAATGATAAACTACTAAAAGTATTCATGCTAAAATCAGAAACAAGAAAAGGATGCTCATTATCACTACCATCCATTTAGCACTGTTCTAGACATTTGAGCCATTGTAGCCATGCAAGAAAAAGAAACTAAAGAAGAATTTTATGAGAAAAATGGAGATGAAAATATTCAACCTGCATATTGAGTAATGTTCATTTTCTCAGTAGAACAAACTAAAATTTGCTTGTAAGTAATTAAAAAGTGAGGTGAGCAGTTACGAATATACAAAAAATATATAAAATAAGTATAGAAAATTAATTGTT